ATTATTATTATTATCATCGTCAATTGTCTAGTAGTTAGGCTACCATACTCATAATCTTGAGGTTGCGGGGACTCGAGCCTCAGGCTTGACTTGGTTTTCTTGGGAAAGGCATTTAGACAATTTTCCTCACTTCACTCAGGTGGGAACGGACACCTGGCCATAAATGAGTCTATAAAATTTCATCTTGCATTGTATGCTTCCCACTGTCGCGTGTTATCATGCGGCAAGTTGAGGTTGAGATTTTGTTAGGAATAGGGGAGAACCTACAGATTGTACCGCTGTGCAATGACGCCTTTACCTCGACCAGGGCCAATGTTCTAGAGCACGAGAGGTCCCAAGCGTTGGTTGAGGAGGATAACACCCCAGACTATCCCTAGCGTCGACCTGCATGGCGTTATCATAGCAAATCACTCGTTGATTCAAACTCTAGCATCTGCTACACTGACACAAAATTGGCTCTTGTTAGTGTTCAAGACATTTCTCCATTGTAGATACATCCAGTAAAGGTGATACTTGGCCCTTTGTCACACGCTGCATCTCAATCTTTTTGCTGAGATGCTGAATCCCTCTCAGCCCCGCCTCCTAAATGCTCTATATTATACAGATTTTATTTTTCAGATTACTTAAGGTACACATAAGAAATACAAATGCCACATGGCAAGTCCAAATGCCATATAGAAAATTCAAATGTACAATAGGAAATGTTAGTACATGATTGTGCTTAACAAGTTCAAATGTACAAATAGTAAATCCAAATGCAACACAATAGCAATTTCAAATGCCACATAGCAAAAGCGAATACCCTCCACAAAGATTATTCAGCGTGAGAAACATTTTTAACGTGCTCAAACTGAGTTGACAACAACCATAAGCAGTTGAATTTTAGGGTGGATTGACCACCATGAAAAAACACAGTATGCTCACGCGGAAAGAAATTCTGCTATGACAGAAGCAACCAGATATCAATATGCAGCATGGCTGATGCAGAACATTTAGCGTTATGAATTTGCCTTCATCGATGAGGCTGGTATCAAGCTGTTAACGAAGAGAAACCAAGGAAGAGCAGGGAGTGGTCAGTGCTTTGTTCGAGTAGCACAGGGTCGAAGGGGACGAAACCGCACGATGATATTTGCAGTCAGTGGCGAGAGTGGCCTGGTTTTTCTTGATTTTCAAGTAGAGGGAATGGCAGCTATCATTTCAACCCATCCCTCTAAGAAACTGTTCCAACAATCTACACAACGAAGTATGCTTTGTATGTAACAACGCTGGTGCACAAAGGGAAGCTTTAAATGGCAACTCATCAATAGGTTGGGGGTGAAATATCTTCCATCCTACACACCTTTTCTTAACATCTACGAGAGTGCCTGAGAATTTGGAAATAAAATTTGAAACCGAGGCTCGGTGAAGCAAAAGTCCAAATGGTCACTCAGCTGACTCATCAACAAATGATGGTCACACTTGCCCAAAAGATGGAACAAAAAGCTCAAGACGGGGCTAGAGTGAATATTACAGCAGCCCTTAAATCATCAATGCAAGCCTATGCCGAAGCGTCTTGTAGTGCAATAGTATTTTGTGTAAATATAGATAAACTTGGCCTTATATTTCATCAAATTATTTATAATCTTATATATACATATATCAGCAGTTTGTGGATTTTTATCATAATCATTCTTTTTTGTTAAAACTTGTTTATTCTCATTTATATTTTTGTTTATTCTCCTTTATTTAACAGTTTTGTTTCATCAAATAGATTCGAGGTGAGATATCTTGCCGCTTGCATACCTTGTCTTACCGTCTGTGAAAACGTTTCTTAATTTGGAAATAGGATTTAGTGGCTTGGGTAGCCTAGTGATTAGGCTATCGGACCTGCAATCGTGAGATTCAGGTTCGGGGGTTCGAGCCTCAGTTCGGTCCGGCGTTGTGTCCTTGAGAAAGGCACTTTACACGAATTTCCTGTTTGGATCGGTCCTTTCGGAGATAGACGTTGATCTCGGAGGTACTGCTTCTTAAATAACCTAATAGTGTTGATAGGGGCAACAAGGGATGGTAACACTTGTCCAATTGATGGAACAACAAAAAATCCCATGTTGTGACTATTGTAAAAATGTCAGCAGTCTTCTGATTAATGCAAGCTTATATGCCACAGCGTTTTGTAGTGCAACAATAAGTAAATACAAGTAAACTTGGTTTTAGACTTCAACCAGTTAGTTATATATACACCAGCAGTTTGTTGATTTTTATCATAACCATTCATTTCTGTTTAAACATGTTGGTTTACTTTCGGGTTTAAAACCATTTTAACAATTAATTTCGTGTCACGTGATTCCTTCCTTGTGGCACCACACGGCTTACGTCGAACTTTTTCGCGGCCAAAAAAAACAAACCCCAAATCCTTTTTATTTATTTCCTTGATACACTTCTTATAGGCTAACGTTTAGCCTCCTATTTCTCCGGTTCAAGCATATTTTTAATTACATTTGAAATTGCTATGGGGCATTTGATTTTGCTATGTGTTACCTTTTGCATTTCTATGTTTACATTTGAACTTGCTATTGTTTGTATTAGGACTTTTTATGACGTCATTTGTATATTTGCATTTGCTAGGTGTAATTTGGTCTTTCTATGCGGCATTTGAATTTGTTATGTTTATATTTGAATTGAAAAGACTATATTATATAATTTTTTATAAATATTATCTTGATGGGGACGTTAAACACCAACACTTTCAACTTTCAAGGTCTTTGTATTTCATCTTCCAACAGGGCCATACCGCCCTCTTCCAGTAAACAGTCGACAAGGCTAAAAATAATCATTTACATTCAATTTCAAGTAAATCCAAACTTGTCAACATTTATAGCACTTTTGCCGATTTGGAGGTGCCCATAAAGATGACAGGGATTCACTGATGAGTTGTTGCGCAGCATATTCTTTCCTTCATCTCTGTTTTAACAACGGTGTCTCGCAACCTTGGTGTCACCACTTCCTGTGCGACGAGCAACTTTGCACGAACACTGTGTTTCTAGCTGTCGATTTCACAATTTGCCCACAGGGTGCAAAGAGAAAACTTCTGGTAGTCAGTTTGGCTTCTCGGTAGCTTACTCTATTAAAGGCCAAGACGGTCTTTGACAGTACATTTAAAACACTATATTTCATCATTAACATTTTCAGTAAAACTGCTTTTGGCTACTGTCAGTACATTTTTGTCAGCCAGGCTCTAATTTGTATTGCGTATTATAGTCTAGTAACATTTTGGTTTGACCTTGAAGAAATTGCTTTAAAGCTGTCTTTTGGAAAATAAGTAGATGATACCAGTCAATAAAAGATTGTGAAGAATCGAGGAGAATTGAAAGGAGCATTTTTCCCAAAAAATTAAAATTAAAAAGGTGCGAAATTCGTTTTTCACATTCCGTTATTTTTGGCAACTTTCGCTTGCCATACACTGATCCTGCTCTTGCCCGCGAACTTCCGCATTTCTGTACGCATCAAAACAATGGCAGCCGAGGCGACTGCAGAGTCAAGCCGGTTTAGTATGGCAAACTGATAGTACATGTAACACAAACGCGCCTTTCCCCGCAAGTCTTCATGTGTACAACAATTATTACCTTTTATCTTGTCTAACGGCTATAACTGTAGGCTTATTATAATAGGCTTCTAATTCTTTTAGTGCGCATGGTAAGATTGTACACGTTCAGCTTGCCACCCCCCCCCCCCCATGTTTTCATTGACCACTGGTAGTGACTGTCCAACCAAAAGTAGCAAAGCGGAAGTAGAGCTAGTATTAGAGTTTCACTTGACGATTTCAATGCCATCATAACATTGTGTTTGGACGCAAGAAGAAAAGGCCTGTATTTTCTGTGGAGAGGGATTTGATGCCAAGCCAGTTACGCTTATAGAAAAGGGGTGCAAAACCATCAACAGCATCAGTGCAAAATTTGGAGAAGCTGTGTTTGCAAAGTCAGGTGACAATGTCCATAAGACCTGTAGAGATTGCCACACTAACAGACATTGTTTTCCATCAAAGGATCCAAAACTTGCAGAGTTACCTCGGAAACGTCGCACACCAGAACAAATCAGAGAACCTGGAAAATTCCTTTGTGTTTTGCGGTCAAAAGGCGAAAAGAGGCAAGAAAGGCAGAAGCGGTCATCCTCTGATTTATGTACAGACAACGCAATTCCAGGACTCTGTTCTGCGTTTTGCAAGAAGAGGGGTGAAACAGACAGATAGTCAAGAGAGGTAACAGGCAAGATAGAGTACATGCTGGATCTTTTTGCTCGTGATGCTGTCTACCACCACGTCTGTTACACGCATTTCAGAGAAAGGAAAGGAGTACCTGCTATTTTTGCGACTGGTGAGCCTGCTGCAAAAACATGTGCTCTGGGCCTGGGTGACCCCGGAATGAATGCTGTTAGGAAGCTTTTCAAGCAGTTGTTGATTATCTAGATAATGAAAGATGTAGAGCACGTGACTGTCCCAGATCTTGTTAACCTCATGCACAGCAAGTTGTCACCCGAAGACGCAGCCTACTCTCCCAGATCTATGAAACAGAAATTACTGGAGCATTTTGGTGACGGCATTGTCATTACCAGAGAAACTCGACGGGACTCCAGACGTTGTCACATTGAAGGAAACTGCAGGTTACATCCTTGC